GGGTAGATGATCAGTGGTTGTTACCAAAACGAATAACGCATTTCAAAATGCTAAATTACCCCCACACCGGTATTAACTTTGCTCACCATTTAATGGAAGCAATAAATGAATACAACCTTCGAGAAAAAATCATGTCTATGACATTTGACAATGCAACCTCAATGACATATACTGATAATTATGTCAAACAAAACTTAACCGATGTAATATTAGATGGTGATGCACTTCATACTAGATGTGTTTTCCATGTTCTTAACTTATGTGTACAGGATGGAATTAGAGCAATTGGTCCATACTACTACAAAGTTAGAGATGCTATTATGTCTATTAATAGCTCAAACATGAGATACCAAGAATGGAAGAGTTTTCTAAAACAACAAAAGATAAGAGCAATAAAAACCAAAACCGATTGGCCAACTAGGTGGAATTCCACCTATGACATGTTAACCAAGGCAATTGAGTACAAGAATCCGTTGACAATTTTTTACAACCAAAAATTTCCAAACAATGCTATATATGAGGATGATTGGTATAAATGTGAACGATATATGCAATTTTTACAGTTATTATATAACATGACGTATTGTTTTTCTTCTGTTTATAATCCTTGTGCTAAAAACTTTCTTTCAAATGCATGTTTACTCGCCCAACTTTTCGCTGATCATCGCAACCAAAGTGATTATGATCAGTATCTTCCAGCAATGGAAACAAAGTGGCGTAAATATTATAGTGAAATTCCTTTGATTCATATTTTTGCTTCCATATTAGATCCTAGGCAAAAGTATGAAAATACATTTATGTTAGTTGACATTTATTTTCAATGCATGCTTCTTGACGATAATGTAGATACCTATAAGAGTAATGTGAAGGATCATTTTTTTGCTTTATATAGAGTCATGAAACCAAATATGGCACCGTTCCTCGCTCAGGCCCTTCCCAACCATCCAAAAACGTAAGTAAAAAGGCCAAACATTTATTTTCACAAGCTACTAACTTGATTTCAAGGTTTTCAGGTGATTCATCAATAAGGAGATCGCAAAGCGATGTCTCGGAGTTGCAAATGTACCTGAGTTACGACTTCACCAAGGGCATGGACGACGATAAGATAAACAGCCTCGACCTCCTTGCATGGTGGAAACAACAAAGCACGAAGCATCCAACTTTGGCGGCAATGGCACGAGACATTCTTGGTATCCAAGGCTCCTCCGTTGCCTCCGAACGAGCTTGCAGCGCATCCGGGAGGGTTTTAGACGATAGAAGAACAAGTCTAAAACCCGAAACACTTGAAATGTGCGTGTGTTTCAAAAATTGGTTGGATGCTGAAAATCACTCACAAGATCGTTCTTACGACAACAACGACAACGATGAAGTAACCTCCGCTTCCGACCGTTCGGGTTCGGCTAGTTCCCAATCTATTCAACAAGCCGATGACCTTGAAGCCGAAGAAGAAGAAGAAGAAGAAGAAGAAGAAGAAGAAAAGAAGAAGAAGAAGAAGAAGAAGAAGAAGAAGAAGAAGAAGAAGAAGAAGAAGAAGAAGAAGAAGAAGAAGAAGAAGAAGAAGAAGAAGAAGAAGAAGAAGAAGAAGAATAGACAATTTTTGTATATTGTACGATTTTTATCATTATCAATATTATCGTTTTACGATTTTTATCATTATCCAATTTTTGTTTAATATCCTTGTACGACTTTTATCATTATTATTATCATTGTACAATTTTTTCAAGTAATAATAATATGAAGTATGCATTATTCACATCCAAAGTCCAATTTGCCTTTTTTCCCGTTAAGTTATAATTTTTAAATTAATATAAAAAAAAATTATAATAATTAATAATACAAAAATAAATATAATTAATTATAAACATTAAACTATAAAGTAATAGTATAAACTAAATATATAAATATATATTTTATATATAAAAAATAATAAAACATAAATATTAAACATAATTTATTTAGAAAAATAATAATATAAGATTATAAGTTATACACTATTAAGAATTTAAAAAAAAAAAAAAAAAAGGAAAGCAAAGGCAGCAGCCCAAGCCAGCCCGGCACAAGCCCGCTCGGCTTGTGGGCTGGCCTGCGATTTTGGGTGGCACGGCACGGCACGCCTCCACCGGCACGGTGGCACGGCACGACATGGCCCACCGGAGACCGTGGCCCGCCAGGCACGGCCCGCGGCGGCTCGGCACGGCACGTTGCCCACCTTTAACCGTGGGCTCGGAGCACCCCCACCGCGGGCGCGGCCATGGACGCCGCGGGCGCGCAGCTATGGTCAGCAAAAATTTCACATTTAAGTAGGAACGTGCCGTCGGCTCGGAGAACCCTCTCCGTGGGCGCGGGCACGGCCCTGCTGCAGACCCAGTTTTCCGCGGGCGCGGCTCTGCGGGTTTCGACTTGTTTTTATTTGATTTTTATCTTCTTTTGGGGAAACTATAAAAAGGGGTTAAACCTCCCATTTTTAAGGAACACCGACCTTTTTTCCAGATTTCATTTTTCTAGTTTTAGCTTAGTTTCTCTCTCTAGTTTAGGGGTAGTTTTAGAGATAGAAAGTGAGTGATTTCAATGGTGATTTGAGAGATTGAAGATGTAAGAGTAACTTCAAAGTCATCATCATTTTCATGGTCCAAATAGACCTTAGCTTCGGCCGTAGGCTGTTTCTCATTAGGAAGCGGTACAGACTGTTGTGAAGCCATCTTAGAGGTAATCTCCCCACAGACGGCGCCAAATGTTTCGGGGTTTTCTATGTCCCTCGGGAGAGTTACGTCACTAAGTCTGAATTTCGGGCGCCTATACCTGCAAAACAACGGAGACTCCGGGTGGTGGGAGCTCCGCCTCCGACGATCAAGTTAGAACCGGTCGAAGAATGTAAAAAGGTGCGGAAAAGGTAAAGTGAGATCTTCTCGGATTCCGAGATCAGGTGTTTTATCTGATGAGAGAGAATTCAGTGTTTGTCATCAATGAACGTGCCCCTAAAAAGGGGGAATCTCCCTATTTATAGGGTCATTGGAGAATGTTCCTTCTCTTAGGTTATCTTGACCTAAATTTGGTGGGCTGCGCCGTTTTACAGCTTTCTCGGGAATTGGGCCCTGAAGGCCGCCTTTTTCCTTTACTGATTGGGGGTGCCACGTGTCAGCTGGTGAGTGGTCCTTATTAGACATGTCTTGGGGTGACACGTGGCCCCTTCTGATTGGGCCACGTAGCCTGGGTATTTTTGCCCAAATCAATTCTCCTATTTCATTGGAATTTTTGGTGATCGGAATTGTGGAATCGGAGTCAAATCATTGGAATTTGGAAGATTTTGATTGAAATTGTATCACAATTGAAGTGATTAGGGTTTTGAAAAAGGGTAAAAAAGGGGGAATTTTTCAATTGCAGCAAAGTGGGGGCAGCCAAGAGTGGGAAAAGGGGAGGAAGGTGGGCAGCGTGGGTGGGGGAAAGGGAGAGGGATGTGGTCGCAGGCGCCGGGGGATCGCTGGCAGCCAGCATGGGGAGGGGTGGCTGACGGGGAGGGGAGCAGTGGCTGGGATTATTTTTTTATTTTTTTAAGTTTTTTATTTTTTTTAATAAATTAAATTATTATTTAATGAGATAATGACCCCACTTAATAAAACCCTAACAGATTCTGTTAAATGGTAGTAAAACCTATATTTTGTAACTTTTAGATGTAGCAAAATATAATAAAATTTTAAACGGGTAGCAAAACTCAAAATTTCTAAAAAAAATAATTGTATTTTAAAACTTTATATTAATACCAATATATCTAACAACATACTTCATGAATTCGGGAAAATTAAAGGTATGCAGATCACATCAGGATAACTTTTAAGAAATCAAATATGAAACATTCAAATGATTTTAGATCACATCAGGAAAATTAACGTAACCTAAATCTTGTAAAATTATATGTAGGTTAAGCTGTAACACTTTAAATGATTGGTAAAAAATTTTATATACGCTTCGGTACAAGGTGCACTTAAGATTATTTTCTGTCCATTTATTATTTTTTTTGGTCATTTCAAAATTTTAATAAATGAAAAAAAAAACCCTTAGTGAACCTACCTCTATATGCACCCAGGTTTACATAAAAGTTTTTGATAAATTGGAGTATGTGGTCAATCATGCAAGAACAATTTGGTAACTGTATTGGACAAAGTTTTTCCTTACAATTCAATGCTTTACACATCATAAAAAAAAAAAAAAAAAAAAATTCCAAATTCAGCAATCTCATTTAAAACTTTTGAAGTACCCTTTTTAAGACATGTTCTCAAACTCCAAAATGAAAAGTACATAATTCAAACATGTTGTTGTTGCTTGGGGTCAGAGTATGCAGAGGCAGAAGTAAACTGCAAATTATCCGTGGCAATGCTACCTGTTGGAAATAATGCCAAGGAAAGAAAAAGAGCTTGTTTTGTTTAGAAGGAAAGAGTATTGTCCCGCATTGGTGGGAGAAGAGACTTTTAGTGAAGAGTAAATCTTTTGATATTCCAATCACTGGAGCAAAGATACAAAGGTATCACGTGGGCTAAGAAAGGGGCTACCAAAAACTAATTATAAAAGCCCATAAAGACAAAACATAAGCCTAATAATATTTACAATGTGAAATTTCACAAACCCCCCTCTCCTCAACTTGGAGCATGAAGATCACAAATGTCCAATTTGTAGAGAAGGTAATCAAATTGACGTTTCCCCAATGCTTTGGTGAAGATATCAGCTAACTGACCATTAGTAGGAACATGAGAAGTGGTGATGGTACCATCCAAAATAGCATCCCCAATAAAATGTCAGTCAACCTCAATATGCTTGGTTCGTTCATGGAAGACGGGATTTTGTGCAAGATACAAAGCTGATTGACTATCACAATAAAGGTGCATAACCAGTGGATGTTGTATACCAAGACTATCAAGCAAACCTTTAAGCCATTTCAACTCACATGTAGTGGAAGCCATGGAACGGTACTCCGCCTCTGCCGATGAACGAGACACTGTATCTGTTTCTTAGTCTTCTAAGAAATTGGAGAATGCCCTAAAAAACACCAACCAATCAGAAAGAGCACGACGAATAAGCAAACAACTGGCCCAATCCGAATCACACCATCCCGACAAAGTCAAGTCACAATTAGCATGAAGAAGGATGCCTTGCCCTGGACATCCTTTCACATAACGTACAACCCGCAAACCTGCTTCCCAATGATCACACCGAGGCTCATGTAAAAATTGATATAAGATATGCACCGAATAAGCAAGGTCAGGGCGAGTGAAAGACAAGTATATAAGATGACCAAACAAATGCTTGTATTTCTCTACATTTGTGAGAAAAGGACGAGTAGACCAAGCAAGCTGATGATGTTGCTCCATAGGAAAAATTGTTGGTTTCCCTCCAAGTAAACTTGTCTCGGAAATAATATCAAGAGTGTATTTTCTTCGGCAAAGAAAGATACCCTCTTCATTACGAGTAACGTCAATACCAAGAAAATATTTTAAGACCCCAAGATCTTTTATATGAAAATACTCACTGAGATACTTTTTAACAGTGATGATAAGAGCAGCGGAATTATTACCAGAAATGATCAAGTCATTTACATACACCAAGACATTGATTTGAGTGTTACTGGTGTGAAGACTGAATAATGAGTAATCGGAGTACGATTGTCGTCGAAACCCATATTTCTTTAAAGCAGACGACAACTTAGCTAACCAACATCTAGTGCCTGTTTCAAATCATAAAGAGACTTATGGAGCCTACAAACACGACCTGGTTGACCGACATCAAAACAAGGGCGAACTTTCATATACACCTCTTCAGAATGAAAACGATGCATGAAAGCATTGTGTACATCCATTTGATGTAACTCTCAATTCTTAGCTGCAGCAACGACTAAAAGTCACGAACTGTTACCATTTTTGCAACTGGGGCAAAAGTATCATTGTAGTCAATACCCTCAATTTGATGATTACCGAACAAACCAAACGAGCCTTAAGGCACTCATTGCTACCATCAGAGTGATATTTGATCTTGTAAAACCACCTACTACCAAGTGCACGTTTTCATGGTGGCAAAGTCTCGATCGTCCGAGTACCGTTATCCTTTAATGCTGGTATCTCTTTTTGCATTGCTTCTCTCCAACCCGGATCTTTCATAGCTTCCTTAAAGGACTGGGGCTCATCACCTGCGGTAATAGCTGCAAGAAAACTTCGATGTCCCATAGAAAACCGGTCACAATTCACAAAATGTGCAATAGGATAAGGCATACCTGAGGAGTGATCAAGAGATGATTAACGGGAGGATGGACTCAACTTTTGCACTGTATTAGTCACATAATTTTGAAGCTTGACAGAGGGAATTTTTGGGCGGCAACCTCTACCCCTGCTGTAGAAGTAGATGACATATCAACATTATCCAATGAAGGGGGCTGCTGCACAACATGTTGTACCACTTTAGTGGTTGACAGCCCCAAATCACCACCATGTGGCAACATATCTTGGCTGGCAGTAGCTTGCAGTGGAGGACTTGGGCTTAGACCTGGTGGGTCAAGTGACTCACCAGGCCCAAAAAAAAATTTTAAGTTATTTTAAAAAAAAATAAAATAAATAAATAAATAAAATTAGAGGAGACTTCAAGCCCTAGCCTCTTCGTGCTCTTCGTGACTTCGCCTTCTCCGCCATTCTTCTCTTCGTGACTTCGCCTTCTCCGCCATTCTTAATCGCCTCATCTCCATTCTTCTCTTCGTGACTTCGCCTAATCGCCTCATCTCCATTCTTCTCTTCGTGACTTCGCGTGACTTCGCCTCTTCGCTCATCTCCATTCTTCTCTTCGTGACTTCGCCTCTTCGCTTCGTCCCAGCCAGGCAGCCACCGTTCTCTTCGCCTAATCGCCTGGTAGTCGGACGTCGGTGACTCGGTGGTCGTGACTCGTGGACTCCGTCCTCTTCGTGAAATCGCTACTCGAAACGTCGGTGCTAGTAAGTTGATTTCTAATTTTTATTTTTAATTTCTAATCTTCAAATTAATTCAGTCTAATTTGTTAATTTTATTAAACTTTGGTTTAAACTTTGGTTGATTTGTTAATTTGTAGTTGGCTGTGCTGCTGAATTGGCGAATTGATGTCTTGCTGAGTGCGTGCCTCGGTGCCTGAGACTTGAGTGCTGCCGAATGCCGTGCTGCGGTGCTGGCCGACTGCCCGTGGCCCTATTGCAGTGCTGCTCCGCCTGCTCCGCTGCTCGCCTCCGCCTAGCAAGGTAGGTAATCAACTAATCATCAATTGATTTTTTTTGTGAAATCTGTTTTGTGTAATTGTGTTTTGTGTAATTGTGTTTTGTGTAATTGAAATCTCTTGAACTTATTAGTTATTACTTATGTGAAATCTGTTTTGTGTAATTGTGTTTTGTGTAATTGTGTTTTGTGTAATTGAAATCTCTTGAACTTATTAGTTATTACTTATGTGAAATCTGTTTTGTGTAATTGTGTTTTGTGTAATATGTTTATGTGATTATGTCATTATGTGAAATTGCTTGATTTAGACCATTTAGTTGAATATTTATTCAAATAATTTTTCTGGGGAATATTGCTTGATTTAGTTCAATATTTATTCAAATTTCAGAATGAAGAGAAAACATACTCCAAATGAAATGCAAAACATTACTAGCTTCTTTGCTAAAAAGAATCCTACTCCAACTTCTCTTCCACATCCAACACAAAATGAACAAACTATAACTCCACCTCAAGAAAGTGAGCAACTTTCATCTCCATCTCATTATTCAACTCAAAATTCCCCTCAAAATGAACAAGGCCAATGTTCTCCTAATGCCCCAATCTTTGGAGAAAGATTAAGTGAACATGAATTTGCTAATCTTCCACAAGATCCAGGAAAGAGGAGAAAAATGAGTCAATTTCATAAAGATGATAGAGATTTAGTGAGAAGAATTTACATTCAAAGAAAGCCTTGTCAGCCCAAAGACTTTACATTTCCTCAAACTTCTATTTTTGGCAAAAATCGTCGCTTTTGTGCTAAGTGGTTTGATACTTGGACTTGGCTTGAGTATAGTGTGGAAAAGGATGCTGCCTATTGTTTCCCTTGTTATCTATTCAAGGATGAAAATGCCTTTGGAGGTGATGCTTTTGTTAGTGATGGTTTCAAATCATGGAATCGATCGGATTTAATAAGAAAACATGTCGGTAAACACTTGAGTGCACATAAAAATGCTGTTTTAGCTATGGATTTGTTCAAGAAACAAAATTCAAGCATCACACAAGCCTTAACAAAACAAACCGCTGAGAGTACAAATGCATATAGGACGCGACTTGAAGCTTCAATTGAATCTATCCAATGGCTTTTACTCCAAGGGTTGCCTTTCCGTGGTCATGATGAAAAAGAAAGTTCCTTAAGAAGAGGTAACTTTCTTTCACTTTTATCCCTTATTTCCAAAGGTAATCCTGAATATTCTAAAGTTGTTTTCAAAAATGCTCCTAGTAATTGTCAACTTACTTCTCCTAAAGTCCAAAAAGATATCATAAATGCATGTGCAAAAGAGACCACTAAAGCAATGCTTGAAGATATTGATGGTGGTTTATTTTCTATCCTTGCTGATGAGTCCGCTGATGTTTCTGACAAGGAACAATTGGCTCTTTGTTTGAGATATGTTAATAGAAAGGGAGAAGTGTGTGAGCGTTTACTTGGTATTGTGCATGTTGTAAACACTGCTTCTTTGACTCTCAAAACTGCTATTGAATCCTTATTAATGGAGCATTCTTTGTCTTTCTCTCAAGTACGGGGTCAGGGTTATGATGGGGCAAGTAATATGCAAGGTTCTATTAATGGCCTTAGGACTCTTATAGAGAATGAGTGTAAAGAAGCTTATTTTATCCACTGCTTTGCTCACCAACTTCAATTAACTCAAGTTGCACTTGCTAAAAAGAATTCAGATTGTGCTTGGTTATTTGTTGATGTACTTGCACCTCTCTTGAATTTTGTGGGGGGTTCACCAAAAAGGAAAGAGTTTCTTCGTGAAAATCAAGCTCAAAGAGTGGTGGATGCATTGTCTCTAGGTGAACTTGAAACGGGTTCAGGTTTAAATCAAGAACGTGGATTAGGTAGACCTTGTGATACTCGTTGGGGATCTCACTTCAAGACAATCTTGAATGTACTTGATTTATTCCCTGTAATCCTTGGTTCTCTTGAGGATATTGCAAAAGTATCTGATACAATAGATTCTAATAGAGCTCAAACACTTACAAATCTTCTGATGTCCTTTGATTTTGTGTTCGTGGCACACTTGATGGTTAGTATATTTGCGATAACAAATGCTTTGAATGTGGCCTTACAAAAGCACGATCAAGACATTGTGAATGCAATGGCCATGGTTAATGTAACCAAGACTAATTTGCAAAAAATGAGAGATGAAGGATGGGATTCTCATATGGAAAAGGTAATTTCTTTTATTGGTGACTATGACATTGCAGTTCCAGATATGGAGGCTAAATATGTTGTTCCCGGGAGGAGGTTGTTTAGAGGTAAATGCCCACAAGTGTCTAATCTACATCATTTTCGAGTTGAAGTTTTTTTTGGTGTCATTGATCTTCAATTGCAAGAACTTGAAAATCGATTTCCCGAAATAACTAAAGAACTACTTGTGTGTATGTCTTGTTTGAGTCCTGTGGATCGTTTTTCTAAGTTTGATAAGGAAAAATTGATTAAGCTTGCAAAATTCTATCCTAATGAATTTCCAAGTTCAGAATTGATAGTCTTTGGTCATACACTTGATAGTTACATTTGTTCTGTTAGAGGAGATGAAAGGTTTTGGAATTTGAAGGGTCTTAGTGATCTTTCAATCAAATTGGTTGAAACGGGATTGTCTGAAACTCATGATAGGGTCTATTTACTTTTGAAGTTGGTGTTGCTTCTTCCTGTCGCAACGGCAAGTGTGGAAAGAGTATTTTCTGGCATGAAGCAAGTGAAAGACAAACTACGAAATAGCATGGGAGATCAAATGTTGAATGATTGTTTAATTACTTATTTGGAGAATGATTTGTTTTTGAATGTTAGCATGGAAGATATCATGAATCGATATCAAAACATGAAAACTCGTCGAGAACTATTTTAATAAGTTTGCATTACTATTTAGTTGTCTTTTGTAGTATTATATGAACATTTGGTTATATTTTGTACTGTTTGAATATTTGGATGTATTTTTTAGTACTATTATTTGGTTGTTTGGTAAAAAAAAATTTTTACATATTTGATTATCGATTGTGACTCACCAGTCGGAAAATCCTGGGTCCGCCACTGGTAGCTTGCTTGCTACTTTGTTCCACTTCTTTTCATTCCCCACATCAATAAAATTATCAATCCCAGCATGCTCCTCAATATTTACCACATGCTCATTATCATAAATCTCATACGCAAAGTCATTCATATCAACTCCCACAATAGGCAAAGAATTAGAAATGGGAGAGGGGACAATATTCTTATCAACAAATGGAAATTCCGACTCATAAAACTTGACATCACCAGACACGAAAAATTCACCTTTGTCAAGATCATACAACTTCTACTCTTTTTTATCGTGAGGGTAACCCCTACAAAAATACACTTTCGACTTCGATTAGCAAATTTATCACCTTTTGCTTTTTGATTATGAGCATAGCACAATGAACCAATTACACGCAAAGAATCATAGGAAGGAGGAACACCGAACAATACTTCATAAGCAGTGGCGGACCCACGTGTAGTCATAGTGGGTCACGGGACCACCTATTATTTTATAAAAAAAAATAAAAATAAAAAAATAAAAAAAACTATATGTCATGAAGTTCAGCAGCCCGGTGGTTTTTTTACCTCCCATCACACGCGAGATGTGGGTTCAAAACCTATAACTCACAATTTTTTTCTTTTTTTGCTTTATAACCTCACTTCCAATTTTCGAGATTTAGAAATTAAAACTTAGAAGTCAGAACATTTCCCCCAAATTGTAAAACCCTAAGTCTCTAACTCCCCTAAATCGGAATCCCCAGACCCCAGCCGCAGCCCCGCCGCCGTTCACCGGCCGGTTTTAAGCTCCTTACTCCGTCACTCCGTGTTCTAGCCGTCGCCGGTATAAGGTTCGTCCGTCAGGCGTCAGTCCGTGGCTCATACTTTGTGGAAATTCGCGTTTTTTTTAGGTTAGTTTTAATTTACATAATTACATTGCAATAAGATTATAGATTGATTAGATTCTATATCAGATTATCAGTACTTTGATGTATGTTGCAGACTTGCAGTTTAAATGTTTAATTATCAAAATTATCAGATTATCTGTATGAGTTGTTTTTTTTTTTGGGGGGGGGTGAAATTTCTTGATTTTATATTGTGGGTGTTGCAGGAGAGCTGATAAATCATAAATGTGATAATTTGATTGTTTTCTGTATTATTTACTGGGCTCTGATTTAGCCGATTTAGAGCTTGAATATTGTGATTTGTGAATGTGAGTTGTGGCCGGATATTTGACTATTTGAGCCCTATTATAGATTTATAGTATAATTTCTGTTTAATTGATAAATGATAATAGTTGTCCAACCTTCTTATTAGCTATTGAGAATGGTGATTTTGTTGTTCTGGGTTTGAAATTTTGTGGGGAATCGCTAATTTGGAGATTTGGGGTTGAAGGGTGGACTGAAATTGAGGTTAATGGGCGTTCTTTTGATGATATCATTAGTTTTAATAACGCTGAGAGAACCCTTCTTGTATGATTGATCTAATTCAACCTTTAACTTTTTTATGTATTTTTTTTTGTTCATTATACAAGTTTTGACTATTTTTTGATACTTTATGCGGTCGATGGACGATGATGGGACAACCTATTAATCAAATCCTGGATCCGCCACTGTTCATAAGGGGTTTTAAAGTTAAGGAGACTAGAGGGAGTAAGATTCATTAAATATCTCGCCCCTAAAATATATTCACCCCAAAAATCAATTGGCAAATTACCCTCAAAACGGAATGCCCTTGCCACACACAAAATATGTCGATTTTTTTCTTTCAACCCTCCCGTTTTGTTGGGGGGGGGGGTGGGGGTAACCCATACAAGATGTTTGGAAAATTATGTCATTCTCACAAAAATAATCTTTAAGACAATTAAACTCTGTGTCATTATTACTTCTAACAAATTGTACTTTTGCATTGAATTGTCTTTCAATCATGGCAAAAAAAGATAAAAACATCTTATACACCTCAGTTTTATTAAGTAGCCAAAAAACCCAAACAGCTCTTGAATAATCATCAACAATAGCCAAAAAGTAATAAGCACCACAAGAAGAAGGGGTAGAATAAGGCCCCGAAAAGATCACAATGTATCAATTCAAAACTTCTGAGTAGCTCTGTGCTCACTAATAGGAAAAGGGTCCCTACTCCCTAGTATGTTTTGCTTGATGACAAACATCAAAAGATTTTTTTCAACTTTCTACTAGATTTACCAACTATGGGAAGAGACTCCAATACTTTGTCAGAAGGATGCCCAAGCCGCTTGTGCCACAAATCTGGAGAAGACAAATCATCAACCTTCAAAGCTTGAATCCTAGGAACATCAGGAAAGTAGTAGAGTCCATCCCTCCGCTCACCGGCTCCAATCAGAGTCCTCAAATTTCGGTCCTGTATAATGCACAAATTATAAGTGAATTGGACAAAACAGTTTAGATCATCAATCAGATGGGAAACCGAAATTAAATTGCAATTTAGTTGCGGCACATATAGAACATTTTTCAAAACTAATCCTGGAGCAAGTTGAACACAACCGCATTGAGTAGAGCTAGCCTTTTTGCCACTGGTAAGACCCACGGGACAAGTAGGATGCTTGTCACATTAGTCAAAAGGTTATAATTACCCGTAACATGCATAGAAGTTCCTGTATCTACTATCCAAGCACTAGAAAAACACTCACCAACCATACGATCATCGGTAGTTTTTGAGTTACCAAGCATGTCTAGGAAGCGTTGCCACTGTTCAGTAGTCATTCCAGGAAGAGCTGCAGAATTTTCCACACTTGAAGACGATGAGCTTGATAAGTGCATAATATAGCATATTTTTAGTCCCTAATAATAGTCCAATAGTCGCTTTATATTGGTTAAATTATGATTTTATTTACTTTTATTATTTTTGTTTTTATTTTATAGTTATTTTTATAATAATTAATACTTAATTTTATGTGGCGTGATTTTGGTAGGATAAAGTGGATTAGTCATCAAGTTGAATAATTGAAGGCAAGTAGCACGACGTATCTCAACAAATCAGCAAGTGAACAAGTAAAATAATAATATTAAAAAAAAAAAAAAAAGAAATAAAAGAAGTAGCATGTGCATGAGGAAAGCAACAATGAGAAGATTAGAACAAAAGCAGAAAGCCTGTGGCGATGAAACCGAAGAAACACCCTAGGGCTAAAGGGTAATCATCCAAATACCCAAATTCTCGCAAATTCTATCCAAATTTTTGGATGTATAATGTGATGAAGACACCAGATTTATCTTATATACAAGATAGAGTTTGGCAGAGGAAAATTCGTAAAAATCAGTTATACAATTGGGTATATAAGTATAGCCCAATTATCCCACAACACAAAAACAAGCAGAACCAAAATTGGAGGTAGGGAGATCGAGTGTATGGTATAAGATGATCGAATAACTACGGTATTGAGAATAATTGGAGGCGAGTGTTCAAAATCGGCGGAGGATCAAGTGTAGCGGCTACCTTGGTGTAATCCTAATTCATAAGTTTCTCCCTACTTTTAATCCTTAATTATCTAGTTTGTTAGATTAAGCTTATTCTATTATACTTGTTAATTGGATGTAATTTTATCTTTGATTTTTCATGATTTTGGTCTCACTATTGAACGCTGAGTTTATTAGTACTTTAATATTGAGTTAGGTATTTATTCAATTCATATGATTGTTTATTTAATTTGAAGGTTCAATCTTTGTATGTGTGATAGTATACGATTACATTTATAAAGTAATTAAACTAGCTAGATTATTGTTAGACGCGGCGTTTGATGGTAATTTAGAGTATACGACTTAATTAAATTAGTATGAGCGGCTCATGATAATTGTTTTAAGTATATGAATTGATCGATAAAAGTTGTTTATTGGGTTGGTAATATTTTAGCAAGATTCTAGTAGTTCTAGTGAGCAAAATAATGGATAATCCGCTGCGGGAATCCAGCAACCTAAATGCTAAACAGAGTATTGAATGAGACTAAAAGAATGGAAATAAGAGGTTAATTTGTGTCTATTTTATCAGTGATCAAACCTCAACTATGTTGGTACTTGTTTATCACTTGTAAATATTAGACTTATTTTAGTTTAGTTCCCTTACTTTATGGTTTATGATCCTTAAAACCCCCAATCTCATGTATAGTGTGAATAATACTCTATTATGTATATGCTTTATTCTTCGAGTTAGACCTTAAGTTAGAATTGATTAATCTCCTCGTGGAATCGACCCTTGCTTACCCTTTTACTAGTTGTTAATATTTTTGAAGGTCTAAGTTAGGTAATTAAATAATTAATTTTATACGGCAAACGACACGTATTGTTGCCCGCCATTGCTGCACGCACCTCCACACCACGTCCACGGCTAGCAGGTTGTGCTTGGTGTTGATATGCACTTCCCTGTTGTAGGGACACTGATAGAACAATGTCTACTACAAGAAAGGGGTGAATTGTAGACTATAGAAAATTTTGCGGAATTAAACTATCTACTAAGAGAGAAGACACTCGAGATAGGCAATGAATAATTTCACTATGTTAAGATGAATTACAATCGCTAATATTCTGCCTAGACTCAAGTTCCGTGAGGAACTCAAGTTTACCCAACTACGATCCCTCAATCGCAGTTCCTCTCTCTTTGTGATTCTACTCCGAATCACTTGTACAGTATGAAGAACTCTCTCAAGCTTCACACTTTACAACTCTCGCAAATCCCAATCCCAATTACAAAGTAATTACAGGATTTCCTAATGCACTTAGAAGGATTAAAGCAGGAAGGAACTCAACACTCTTTTATATTAAAACGTGAAAGCTCTTAAACTCTATGAACTGGATGTTTTCGTTGTTGCTCCACACTTCAAAACAGCTTTGTTGATTGCTTTTTATAGAGAGTTTTGTTAAGTCTCATCCATGTTCCCATTTCCCCCATAAACTCACGTTCACCATAACTAGGCAGTTAAGATGTACGTTGAGGGAGTGGAGAATCATGGCTTCACTAACTTTTCTCTCAGGTTCAACGTGACTCCTTAAAACAAGGTAACTAAATTTTATTGAGTCAGAATCAGTTAGGAAGATATTTATTTAAAAGATAAATATTTATTTTAAGGGAATAAAAGAGATATTAAAAAAAGATAAAAACAATTAAATAATTATTTAATTTAAAATAATAAATTTATCTTTTTAAATTAAAGAATTATTTATCTTTTATTTTATTTCCAAAATATCTATTCAAACTGATTTTTACTCTTTCCTTATTTCAAGGATTTCAAAACTGTTTTAAATCTTACGTAAAATTCTTTTCCTGATTCAAAACGTTAAGTTCCTTCAGGAACTCCAGGTTCTTTCAGGAATTTCAAGTTTCTTAATTATTCCTTCCAACACTTTGCGTCTCAAGTACGTACAAGAACATTCTAAGTATTGGAGCTTGTGAGGATATCTTGAAATCTTGCTTGTTACGTCAAGACTTCCAAACTCTTTTGTTCCTACTCTGGAACATTTAACTTTATACCTGAATCTTCTGTTCAACCAAGACTTACACAAATCATTAGTCAGAGTTTGTTTTATGTATGTCTATCATCAAAATATTAAGGTAGTCAATTCAACAATATTCCCCCTTTTTGATGATGACAAACAAAAACAAACTCGGTTTAAACAAAATAGACATCCAGGCATTCAGAGTAACCAATAACTAAGTAGAACAAGGTTTTTGTTTGTCATCATCAAAAAGGGGGAATATTGTTGAATTGACTACCTTAATATTTTGATGATTGACATGTATAAAACAAACTCTGACTAATGATGTGTGTAAGTCTTGGTTGAACAGAAGATTCAGGTACAAAGCTAAATGTTCCGGAGTAGGAACAAAAGAGTTTGGAAGTCTTGACGTAACAAGCAAACTTTCAAGATATCCTCACAAGCTCTAATACTTAGAATGTTCTTGTACATACTTGAGAAGCAAAGTGTTGGAAGGAATAATTAAGAAACTTGAAGTTCCTGAAGGAACCTGGAGTTCCTGAGGAAACTTAACGTTTTGAATCAGGAACTTAAGGTTTTTATTTTTATTTTTATTTTTTTACAAAAGACTACCACTCTTAGTTTTCCGATCATTGACTAAGCTTTTCGGTGTTGACTTGAACGTGTCTTACACGTGAGTCATTAAACACCAACTTCTCCCCAAAAAAAATACACGATTTCCCCTTCTCTCTCTTTCATACTCCCATCAGTTAGAGTCCCCTCTCTCTTATCTTTCATTTGCAATTTCCTCCATGTGTGAGTACTGTCCATTGGTTCTCACATTATTCGTTACAAATTTGGCTTAGATTACTCAGTTGAAGAATGGAAGTAACTGTCCATTAGTTCTCTCATTATTTCCCCTTCAGTTGATTTAATTAATTAGGGTTCATTTTTTCCCCCCCAAATTGACACGCCCAGATTTGTTCATTGTTTCATGTGAACATAATTAAATGCTGGTGTGGTAGACTTTTGGGCACCATGGTGTGGACCTTGCAAGCTAATTGCTCCGATTTGCAATTTACAAGCAGAACACATATGTCATATGGAGTTTTCTACAGTATTGTTCTTTAAGAAAGGAGAAAGGAAAGAAAGTATATTATTGGAGATGTGCTTAAGTCTACTTTGACTGATGCCATTGAGAAGTATTTATCATCTTAAGCAAAAATATCTAGGTACTAATTAATTAAAAAGATCAGTTTTTTTCTAATTATGAACAAAACTCAGCAACTTTAATTTATTTAATAAGAGTTGCTTATATTTGTATATCACGTGCAAGTCAACACCAGAAAGCTTAGTCAATGGTCAGAAAATTAAGTGTTGTAGTCTTTCGCAAATTTTTTTTAAAAAACTGGTAGTCTTTGAAAAAAAAATTTATAAGGTAGTTTATTCGCAAAAACTTGTATATGGTAGGGCGTAAAACAATTTTATTGAAAAGTATTTTCCCATTTTACATTGTTTGGTTTGGTGTAAAACATTAAAATGTAAAACTTGAGGTGGAAAATCATTTTCCACCTTATTGAAAACATTTTCCCCCCAATTTAGAAGGAAAACGTTTTCTATCACAAGTGGAGGGAAAACATTTTCCATCACAAGTGAAGTGAAAACATTTTCCCTCACAATTGAATTTTCAGTTCAACCAAACAATGGAAAATGCTTAAAATGGAAAATCATTTTCCATTCAACCAAACAACGGAAAACTTTTTTGAAAACGAGTTTTCCATTGTAAAATGATTTTCATAGAAAACCATTTTACATTGAAAATATTTTACACCCTACCAAACGGACCCTAAAAGATAGTTTCTCGCAAATTTTCCATTTATAACTCTAAACTATTTCTTTTTTTTTTCTTTTTTTTTTTTGGTAGATCATCAATTTACATATTATCTTCATTATTTATTTATTACTCCCTCCTTTTCACTTCGTTAGTCCCATTTGAAATCAATCACTTAAAATAAGAAAAGGAGAAATCCTAATAATTTGAAATTTGATTGCAGCTTTGTAATTTATGTTTTGTCTTTTCCTATTTTATTGTTTGTTTATGGAAATTGGCTGTAATTAAATCGCCTATAATAAATCGCCTGTAATCAAATAAAAATATCTTGTCAGCAGACCTATAATCGTTGTTGCAAGTACATTCTTCATACCTACTTTCATATCGCTGTGATTTACAGCCTTCTTCTATGAGGGGGTCTATCAATCTATTGTAGCCGTGAAGAAAATTTTCGTCTAATTCGTTAGATTGTAATCGAACGATAAACCTCTTTTTCGATCTCACACAAAATTTTACCCATAAAACAACTCTATATCAATCCATGAAATAAAAACGCAAACCCTCCCTCAAAAGAGAGAAGTAAAATCTGGTCTTTGAATGAGTCAAATCCTCCTAAAGAAGAAAAAAAAAAACCCTGTTTTCCGAGGAAGAATGTTCCTTCTAGAAGAGAAAGAGGTATTATAAACCTAAAACAAGAGAAAAACACATAAAAACAACGATGGGGGCTTTCCACCGGTAATAACCAATGGAAGCCCCTCCAAAATTCAACTGAAATTCTAACTTTTGTCTATAATTATACTTTTCACCTTTTTTCATGTATTTCATTCACTTTCTTCTCCCTTTTTTTTTAAATACCATGAAAAAACACAAAACGGAAGTCAGGAACTATATACTGGGACGGAGGGAGTACTTGACAAATAAGTTAGATTTCTCGAGACTTCCATATTTCAATTTCAATTACTATTAAATTACAAAACTGAACACAGTTCAAAAATCATCTAATTTATTTTACAAATCCCTTACATTCTATCTCTCTCCTCTTTAATACAGAATTACTCAAATACAGGGTTCCCATTTCCTCTTTTTACAAGTATGCATAGCTACCATAACTGAATAAAACTTAGCAATATATATAAAAGAAATATAAGATTGTACTGTATATTAAAAATACACTAGCAGATTCTTCCAAAAAAAAAAATTACAATAGCAGAAATACACCGTTTACTTATTTTTAAATAAAAAAAATATGGAAAAATTACCAAACTAAGCTTATTTATCAAACTATACACCATAATAGACGCGTGGCAAAACTATTTACCAAACTAAGCTTGAGGGTAAAACTCCATCCAAAATAGCGTTTACTTATCGGGTTTTTTTAAAAAAAAAATATATAAAGAATTAAAAAAAACAGTTCTTCATAATGGTAGAAGGCCTTAGATGCCCTTAGATGCTTGATGACAAATGTCCATAATAACTTATGTTATAGTTAGACTTTTCGGGCATGTAATGGACTGTCCAAACTATTTATTCAAGAGTTTACTTTTTCAAAGAGGGAGCCCAGGTTGATCTCCGTGATAAACGGATACGTTTATCTCGGTGACAAAATTGTAAATATTTTTACATTTTGAAAAAAAAAAAAAAAAAAAAAAAATCACCATCATCTTCCTCCTCACTCCATCGTGACCCATCACCATGATTAATCCATGGTTTCCTTTTCTCCTTCCTTCACATTCCCGACCCTGCTAGCACCTTCATCTTCTTCCTCCTTCTCTGATCCCCAAACACCTTAATCTTCTGATTTCTTCTTCAAGATGCTTCAATGGTGAATACGAAACCTCAACACCATTTTCGGCGACTTCGTCGCCAAATCCAACGAAAACCCTGTGTAAATATGTAGAAATTAAGGGAATGGTTAACCCCTAAGGAGGAAGTGTTTTCGTTTGCTTATTTGATATCCACCTTCTATTGGTATTCACCATTGATGGAGCTCGTCAGCTTCTTCGATTTCATCAGATTTGCATTCTCCCACTAAAGCTGCTTGGAGGATCTCCTATTTCAAATGGCCCTCATTTTAATTGCGAAATGACCACAATACCTTGTGATAAACTTCACATGTTTATCACCGAGATTAACTTGTATTTACCCTTTTCAAAGGGCCTTAGATGCTTGATGACAAATGTCCATAATAACTTGGTTACTAAAACTTGCATGCACTTCACACGTCGAATTTCCACCATCTCCTTTTATCATTACAAAATTTTTATAAAAAACGTTAGCGTTTCATGAAGAATTTTTTTTTTTTAATTCTTTATATACTTTTTTTAAAAAAAATCCGATAAGTAAAATGCTAACCGTTTTACCACTAACTGAAATTTTTTAAAAAAATTAAAATTGTCAAGGGTAAAATGCTATCCTGAATGGCGTTTTACCTTCAAACTTAATTTGATAAATAGTTTTACCACGTGTTTATTATGGAGTATAATTTGATAAATAAGCTTAGTTTAGTAATTTTTTCAAAAAATATTAAGAAAATATTATTGAAATACGAAGTATAGAATCTTTCAAAAAAAAAGAAAGAAATACGAAGTATAGAAAAGTCGCATCGGTTTAACAAGAACTTTCCAAACCCCACATAAATTACATGGTTGATGCGGAGGAGCTGTAAATGAACATGACTAAGATATGAGCACATGGGCGCACATGCATTTCTCATACTCTCGCTTTCCAAACCACTTTCCTTTTTTTTTTTCATCTCTCATCTTATACGAGTATGAATCACTCACATGCAATAGTTGTTACTCCTTAATTTGGTTTGCCATTACCAATGGGTATTTGCCAGCTTATTTTTATTTTTAATTTTAAAACTACTCAGAAAAAAATATAAAACATGTTACCATTATAAATATTTTCAAACAATTTACCGAAATCCCGAATTCCTTTTTGAAGTGTAGTTATTTTATGTACCAATTTTTCTCGAGTATATATATTAGAAGAAAATGGAAGCACTAATAGTATTAAACCGAGTTTTTTATAATGCACCTAAATGTACCGCTTTTTAATGATTAAATGAAGAATGTCAATAATCATTCAAATGAGAAATTAGTGAGTCTGGTAACAAATTTGAAGATGAATCTTGATTAACAAATTTAATGTACTTAATACAAATCGCAACAAAAGTTAAGGCAAGAAATTAGAAATATATAGGTCAATTGATATACTCCATAAGATAATCAAACCACAACCATAAAAATTCAACAAAAAATCTCAATCCAATTTATATTACACAAGAAAGAATGTCAAACAAGGAAAAAAATATGAAAAATACCACTCTACATCAGATAACCCAACCAAAGAATGGATACAAATTCATATCATAAAACAAAATAATTTTAGAAGAGTAGCCCGAAAGCGAGGGCGATAAGGGATGCCAATGTAGCGGGGAAAAAAGCGGCAGCATCGGAAGTGGGTGCTGGGGCAGGAGCATCAACAGCAGCCACATTTTGGACTGAAAACATAGCAATAATCATCAAAACAACTGCGAAAGCAGCTCTCATCTTCATTGCCTCCATTCTTTAATTTACTTTCTTGACTAAAATTGTAAGAAGATATAAATTCAAGTCAAGAAAGATGTTGAATGAGAGAATAAGAGAGAATGTGTGAGTGTTGAAGGTTTAAGGAAAGAGAGAAGATGGGTTTTATAGAAAAAGGGTTAGAGTTGGAAAAGCCGGGAATCACGGGCAGGGGAAAAAGGGAAAGAGCCGTTGAAGAAAAGGAGAGGGCAAAAGGATGACCGTTGCCCGAGGTAAGTGAGACAGACTGGAATTTAACATGATTGTGGGTAACAGCTGGTCATGGAGAGGATTGCGGCTGTTATTTGGGGTCCATTTTCATGTTTTGCTATTCAACCACCACTAATGCTATTCTCTCTTGATTTTGTCATTAAATTAAAGATATTTAGGAGATTGGGAGAAGATTATGGTAAAGTTTTTACAAGTACTTTCTCAAAGTAATTGACACAGTTTTGATATTTCTTTGATATAAATATCAATATATAATAATATACTCTTTTCGTTCCTTATCTAGAAACCTATTTCTTATTTTTCATGGGAATTAAGGAACTTAGACATTCCTTAAAACCCATGATTGGAAAGTAAAAATATGCATATAGGGTTAGAGAGAGATAGAGAGAAAGAAAAGGTATTTGGTAATTATTAAAGAGATAGAGATAAAAAGTGTTGGAAAATGATGTCAAAAGTAAAAATAAAAATAAAAAATGATGACAACTCATAAAAAAAACGGAATATTGTCAAAAAAAATACATTCTTCAAAATAGAAATAGGCATGTAATTTTGATTTCCTGAAAATAAAATACAGACATGTAGGTAAGCGACGGGGGGAGTAAGATAATACCCTTATAAATCTTATCTCGTTCTCTGTTTACAATAAAATCGTATCAGGTCTAGAGTTATTAAAAAAGACAAAAAGATTTTCCAAATTGGCTAAGAGCCTAAAAGTTATGCTAATAATATTCAATATATACACTAATATTATTGTAAATGGAGTTTACACAAAAAATTTTAATTTTTTTTTAATATGAGATTTATGGTTTACTAGCAATGTCAATTAAAAAAGAGGTCAAGTTTTGGTTTATATGTTACACCTTAGAAATTTCCCTCATTTGAAATCCTCATTTTACCCTGTAATAAATCAATCAGATAAATCTAAAGTATAATTGTCACTATGATAACAATTAAGGCTTTTTATCAAAGAACACAACAAAGACCTAACACCATTTCCAAAACAAACCTCAAAACCAATATAAGCTTTAAAACAGAACTAACTTCAAGCCAATTAAATACTACGGATTAATACAATGTGAAAACCATAAAGGCCCAAAAACCAAACCAAGTAAACTAGGGCTTGCTTGACATCATTTTTTGTTTTCAATTACTCCCTCCGTTAAATATTATCTGCAACTTTTGCCATTTTTGTCCGATCAGGGTTATGTGCAACTATCTGTTTTTTTTTTTCATTTATAGTAAACAAAAACCCCTTAAATTACATATTTACCCTTACTTAAAAAATTTAATTTTCTTAATTTACCCTTATCTTATTTTAATCACAATAACCTTTTTTAATCTAATCTAAATTCATGAACCTAATTCTACCCACCCCATCTACTCATCTCCTAATTTACCCACCACCCATTCATCTCTTTCTTCAACCTTCACCCTCTTCATCTCTTTCATCTCTTTCACCTTCACCCTCTTCATCTCTTCCCACCACCATTCTTTCTCCTCCTTCACGACCACCGCCCCTCCCACCACCATTCTCTCTCCTCCTTCACGACCACCACCCCTCCCACCACCATTCTAGCCCCTTCGACCACTATTCTCTCTCCTCCTTCACGACCACCGCCCCTCCCATCACCAATCTCTCTCCTCCTTCACGACTATCGCCCCTCCCACCACCATTCTCTCTTCTCCTTCACGAGTCACGACCACCGCCACTCCCACCACCATTTGCTCTCCTCCTTCTCGAATTTCATCCGGATCTACTTTGGGGTTTGATTTTGTACTTTTTTCGTTTATTTTTAGGTGATTTACGTTCGAATTTTTTGGGATTTTTTCGATTTTATGGGTTTCGATTTTGTGGACATTGATTTTATGGGTTTTGATTTTGATTTTATGGGTTTTGATTTTATGGGTATGGATTTTGGTTTCTACGGTGGTGGGTGGGTATAGGGGTGGGTGGGTTAGGATTAAGGGGTTTTCTACGGTGGTGGGTGGGTCTAGGTACATGGGTGGTGGGGTGGTCTGGGTTGGAGGTGGTTAGGGCTGGTGGTGGAGGGAAAGGACTGATTTCTGGGTTTTTGTGAGGGTGGTGGTGGTGGTTTCATGGGGTTGGTAGTGGTGGTGGTTTCGTGGGGTTGGTAGTGGTGGTGGTGAAGGGGGCGGTCTGGGTGGTGTTGCGGCTGTTGCGTGGTCTTGGTGGCGGTAGTGGGTTTTGATTAATTAATCTCTCTCCACCTTAATTACATATCACAAGTGCATTAACTTTCTTTAATCTTTTCCCTTTAAAAATTACATCGCCAACCGTGAATTGTACTGCAGTTGCAGATAATATTTAACGGAGGGAGTATTTTTTTTTTTTTTTGTAAAACAAAAAATAAAAAATAGGAAACAAGAAAAATGTGTTTCCAATATTTTGTTATCAATTTTCAAAATTATCATGATTTTAATAATTATGACTAATTTTTTATTCACTATATGACATATATCATATGATTTTGAAAAACAAAAAACTCTAGTGATACCAAACGAACCCTTAACAATTAAGTTAATAGCATAAACTCATTTAAATATGAAGATATAACATTTATAAGGATAATGACTAAATACAAGTAGCTCTCCACACACAATCCCATCACATGCTTCAAGCTTCAACTACCTAAAAACAGTAAAACACACATTCAGGTTAGAACCCAGCTATGTTTACGCTGAGTTACGTGACCCAACAAAAAAAAAAGGAAAATAAAAAAATCAAGTCTTTTGCGCTCTCTCTTACGCCCCTCTCTTCCTCTTTTTCTCACGCTACTCTCTTCCTCTCTTTCTCTCTCTTTTTTCAAGACAAGGAAAGAGAGAGAAAGCGAAAAGCTGAGAAGCAATGCTTTGAGAATCAATGGTGGGTGCCCATGGATCTACTAGTAGAAATCCGCAGACAATTCCTCCCTTTCTTCATCTCCGATCCTTCCAATTGCGCCATTGTTAAATTTGGTGGTATCCCTAATCTTCAAATTTAAGGAGGATGGAATTTGAAGGGAGTTCAAAGGAGTTAATGGGAAGAGTGAAGTTGGGGTTGAATTGTTATGAATTAACATAATGTAATTGGCTGCCATTGTTGTTTGATTTTCTGAGCTTTTCGATTTTTATCGTTTGGAGATCAGAAAGAGTGCTGCGTAAATGCCTAATACAATCAAATTGTTTGTCGCATTTTGTTTAATTTTGTGTAATACATCAAAAACATCATTAGTTGTTGGGTTGATTTTGTGCTTAAATTAGTTGTTTTTATTATTTAATTTATCAAATTAGTGTTGGTGTTCCTTGAAATTAAGGTTATATATCCTACACAATTAAGGTTTCAAATTCATAACAAGTAATATAATTTGATATTTCTGATTTTTTAGTTAGGAATTGATATTATAATTGAGAATATAAATAGTGACGGTTGAATTGCTTGCCAAATTGAGAATATAAGTTCTTTAGTGTATCATTATCGATTTATTTATTTATTTTTTTTGGTAAATTCATTTTCATATTTATGTTTGTATACTTAACTTGGGTATTTTTGACAATATTGGATTGTTTAGTCTAATTGAAATTATGACTTAATTTTTATAATGAATAGGAAAAAGACGTGTGATATAACAAGTTTCTTTAGTCCTAAAATGCATCTTTCTTCACAAAATTCTCTTCTATCACAAAATCATCCTCCACAAATCTAACTCCAAGATCAACGAGTATGCGGTTGATGGGTGACGGTCGATAAGTGCCGGTGTTCCAGCACCCTTAAAATCCTGGATCTGCCACTGCACACATTACAACCTCAATTTGCTCACTATAATGGATTATCACAGGGTCAAGACAAAAAGAAGGCCAACAAACACAAACAAAGCACGCATCAGCAAAGCTGAGTATATACAACGAATGGGAACATAGTAACATGCTTTAAATTTGTCTTAACATTCCACACTTGCTTGTAGTCAATCAAGGAAACAACCAAAACAAAGACTCATTGACTCATACGCTATTTAAATTATTACTTGGAATGCGCATTGAAATGGTTTCATCACTATTTAGGAGCTAATCGAGTAGGCAACAACTTATGTCACTATTAAGTGACAGACATCCCTGTGCATAACAATATAAATAGGAAAGTGTAACGTCTTGTATTCCCTATAGAAGTTATGGTTAAATATAAAACCCTATAACTCCCCTAATATGTTCATACTCAAGGTATATATGTTCTAAGATTTTTGGTGTATATATAAGTCAAACTTTTATTGCTTCCCCAAAAAATGTTGTATGATCTCTCTGAATCTTTTTTAATTTTTTTTATTTTCATACAAAATATATAATATTATGCAATTTCCTAAGCGATTACTATTAAAAATTTTAACTCATTTGCCCAAAAAATTTAATGAGCAAATGGAGATTGTATATGGGTAGACATAATTAGATTTTTACTTTGGGATATGAGTTAAAGGAGGAGATGAGATATAAATTGTAGTTTTTTTATTGGTAAAATAAATCTACTAAGACCACACGAATGTAATAAGACCACATGACTATGTATTGGAGATATTCTAGGATATTATTGTGACATATTTTGGGTATATATCTTATGTGAAGATATGATAGAATATTGTGGAATATTATGGTAATGTCAACCCTATTGTTATATATACTTGTATTTGTGGCCATGAAGATTAATGAGAAATACAGTGAATTTTTTGGTGACTTTGTGATTAATTTAACATGGTATTAAGAGCCTAGTTAAGATTCAAAAAAAATTTTGTACGTAGATTTTCATAATTTACGCACATTTGTGACCTTGTGAGATAATCTGTTTTTTTTCCCTTTCCCCTTGAGTTGTGAGAGATGGCTGGTGGCTCAGGCGGTGATGG